ACGTTATTGATGCACATCACTGCCTAAATGACTAATTAAAAATAGATCTGCATCAAGAAAGTAACCTAAAAAACGCGTTTTCGTATCCACAAAATCAACGCGGGTTTCACCCTGTCCTATTATAATCTAACTTCTTCGTTCTTCTATTTAAAAATGATCTTCGCAATACTTGATCATTTTATAAATTCGCATATAGTATAGATTATTATTTACAGTATATAATGATGTCATCCTTAACTTTAATCAAATTAAGACAAAATGAGAAAAACAAAAAATATTTGAAACTGCAGTTTCAACCTATCTTGAACCGTTAATAAAAAAATATCAAAAAAGCAATTTTACTTATATCGTTTAAATCTAGGCATCTAACACTAATTTTTTAAAAACCATTAAATACTATATATATATATATATATATATATTGTATATATATATATTCAGAATATATACGTAGAACCAACACAACATACATGTGATTTAGCGCATAGCATTAGAATGTTACATATGTATATCTTCCATAAATCTATCTATTAATTTTAGTAATTAGTGCAACGCTAACCCTTGTTTTAATAAACCATGATTCAATACGTAAGAACGCCACTTTGTGAACGGTTGCTACGTTTTCAATAGGTTGTTCCAAATCTGTCTATAATATGTTTCAATGTACGTATTCATTTCATTTCATTTACAGTAAGACCTCCCTAAATGCAATGCGACGGGACCATATATAAAAATTTAGTCAAACGTGCACTTAGAGAGGTACTGCATTTAGGGAGGTAAAAATCTATAGATATAATATTAGTTGGGCCCAAGAGAAGACATGCATTTAGGGAGGTGTTTCATAGGACATGCACTTAGGGGGGTAGCATTTAGGGGGCCGGATTAGCACACTTGCTAGAAATAACTATACAAATCGTGCAATATACCGTAGATTTTTTAACACAATAAAGCAGCGAAAGATATTTTTTTATCATATTTTTTTAATCGATGGCTTTGATTACAATCTTTTCAACGATTTTATAAACTTATGTATGTCATATTTAGATAAAGTTCATTCACATTATTAAAAGAATTTACTATTATAAAATAGTATAAATCGAAAAGTGCTTCAACAAAATTAAACTACTGATTATTATACTAGTTCGAAAGAAACTGTACTGAAAGTTACTATTGTCCGCAGTAAATTCGGATCGATATGCGACCCTAATTAAAATGGACGATTTTATTAGTTTGATAAACACTCTAACGTTCCTGGTATACTATTCACTCAATATATAGTGAACGCTCGATGTAATTAAAATCTCGATTAGTGAATTTTTTATTAATGGAACGGATCACTTCACTGTAGCGAGTATCAGTATCGATATAGTATCGATATTATGTCATATTAATGGTAATCTTGATTAATCTGGTTTTTTTTTTTCTTTAACGAATTCTCTTACCGAATTTTTTTTACCCATTGGAGATTTGAAAGTGTCTAATAGCGATAACGATAGTGAATGATCCATAATTTACCAAACAATCAGTTATCCTCGTTTGTATAGTCATACGGACGAGATTATTGAAAATGATAAATTTAATGAATCCAAACAATTTTGTAAAAGAACTACCGCCAAACTACAGTATACAACTTCAAATCATAAGATTACAACCGGCTTAACCATTTTTAATATTTTTAAACGCATGTGTAATCAAATGCATAAGATCAACATATTTTCTTGTTTCAAATTATTTATAATCGTGTAATTAAATTTTTTTTCACTGTCTACAAGATAATGTCTTCTATTCAAAACCAAAAATCCAAAAGAATAGCTATAATTGGATCCGGAATATCTGGCTTAGGTTCTGCCTGGCTTCTTTCCGAGCATTCTCCGCATGATGTAGTTCTTTATGAACAAAATGATTATGTTGGAGGTCATACACATACAGTTGACTATATTGTTCCAACGACAAAAAGTTCCGCCAATCCAAAGTCAATACCAGTAGATACGGGATTTATCGTTTTCAATCCTTTAACATATCCAAACTTGATAAAATTTTTTAAACATAAGAATATTGAATATATGAAATCTGAAATGAGCTTTTCTTTTTCAAGAAATCATGGTGAATTTGAATGGTCAGGAAAAAATCCATTCTCGGTATTTGCTCAACCAAAAAATTTATTGAATATAGATATGTGGAAAATGTTATATGACATTTTCAGATTTAACTTTCATGCTACTGAATTATTGAATTTGCCTGATGATCATTCCGAAAAACAATTGAGTTTGGGAGAATATCTTGATCTTCATAATTATTCCGCCTCTTTCAGAAACAATTATTTGTTGGTAATATATATGTATATATGCACATATATGTTCGTTCCTTACCGCTATTATTATTTTTTACGATTAAACTTAATTAATTATATTTAGCCAATGACCGCTGCTATTTGGTCCACTCCTCCAGAAACATGTACACTCGAGTTTCCTGCTTTGACTTTAATCCAATTCATGCATAATCATTGCTTACTTCAAGTTTTTAATCGAGTTGACTGGCTAACTGTGAAAGGTGGAAGGTACGCATCATGATCATTATAAATATGAGCTTTTATTAAAATTTAAATAATCAAATGTTTATTCAATTTAGTCGCAAGTACGTTGAATCCATCATTTCCAATATTAAAGATGTAAGACTTTCGACTCAAGTGGTTTCTATTACTCGTGAACCATCAGATTCTTCCGATCCGACCTCTAGTCCGATTATTACTATCATTGATAACAAGGGTCGACGCGAAACATTTGATCACGTGGTATTCGCGACCCATGCGGATCAAGCCCTGAAGATTCTAGGTGATCAAGCCACAGAAGATGAGATACGTATATTGGGCAACGTACACTTTAGTAAAAATCGCGCAGTTCTGCATTCTGATCTTTCAGTAAGCGGTCACTATATAAAATATATAAAATTACGCGTTTATTTGTATCAAACATTTACATTTTTTAAATGTATACTAGTTAATGCCGACACGTCGCTTGGCATTTTCATCTTGGAACTATCTCTCTAATTCCACAAAGGACGTACATGAGGTCTCATTGTATGTACCCATATATCTCTAATTGTTTTAATGATCTCGTATTTTGTTATTAGATTAATCACAAAAATATTATAAAAATATAGAACTTATTCGATGAATATTCTTCAATCCATTGACGAATCATCTTACGGACCAGTTCTTGTGTCATTAAATCCACTTTGGGAACCTGATCCATCCAAGTTATTTGATTCTTGGATATATGAACATCCACAATACACACCACTCACAATCGCTTCTCAGAAAGTTTTGTCAAGCATTCAAAACCTCCCACATATGCAAACATCCTTTGCAGGAGCTTGGACAAATTATGGGTTTCATGAAGACGGATTTACATCAGGAATTAAGGTGGCTACAGAATATTTAGGGGCGAAATGCCCCTTTGAAATAATTGATGCAACTTATATTAGAGGAAAACAAGTTGAATTATCAACGATTGAAAAGGTTCAAAAGCGATTGTGGAATGGGTTTGAATGGTCTATTACATATTCTAAACCTTTAGCGATTGTTGGGTTTACTGTTGCAAGTGTATACCTTCAACAGGCTTTCAAATTGGTTAAAAATGTCACACATGGTCAGACCAAAACTGAATAGAATCATGAATATTTTTAGTGATTTTTGTTACGAGCGTTTTCTTTTAAAAAATCCGAGAAAAAAACTTTATATTATTTGTTATTTCATTGCGGAACTATATAATGAAAGTATTAATAAACATAAACCTCCAAAAAAAGAGAGCAATTAGTGGAATCTAAAATATAATTAAAAATTATAATGCTAAATTATCTAAATTATCTAAATTATCTACGTATTAATTTCACAAAAACAAACTTTGATAAGAATTTGATCCAATGTACGACCACATGATACGCCTAACGTTGATTTTATCGGGTTAAAACGCCATGATAAGAGCCGCTATCGACAGAATAATCGCAAAGAAAATCTGTCGCCCATCGTTATTGGGATTAGCAAAAGATTTTTTATCAGATGTGCTAGTTTGTGCAGGGTTATTAGGAGATGATGGCGGTGGTCCATTTGGAGCGGGAGGATTCGCTTGGTTCGTTGGGGTTGAACTGGGAGCCTTTTCTGGTTGCGTCGGAGCAGGTGCTGCTGAGGCCGTCTTTTGACTACATGTAATTTTTTTTTTAAAAAAAAACCAAAATTATATAAAATTTCATAAAGAAAAAGGATGAAAAAAAAAAACTAACAGGAATAAACATATTAAACATAAAACATAAAACTATCTTTACAGTACCTTTCTGCATAATTACACACTTGAGTTACCGCTGTCTAAAATTGTCATTTAAAAGTATTCACGTTTATTATTATTCTTTATTTGGGCCACCGTCAATAGAAATCAAGCAGATTTTATCTACGTAATAAGTCTGCTTGATTTCTGTTGAGGCACCTACTATAAAACACACCTATAGTGTTTTGGGATTTTTTAAATTTCCATTAGTTTATATCGATATAAAATTTTTAAATTTTTTTTCACGTTAGTATTTTAGATTAAGGTTTAGAAAAAGCTTTCAGTGACTTAAGATATTTTTACTCAAAGTATTACATTCCAGTTAATTAGCCAACTTTCAGATAATGTAAGACACTATAGGTGCATTTTCAATAAAGTATATTCATTATTGTGGATGTTACCTCATAGGAATTTCCTTGATCAGTAATGTCTCGATCATCTGGGCATTGACGATAGCATTCACGAATGGCTTAAAGATTTAATTTTGTATTAGTGATTTGTTCTCTCACGTTCTAAACTTTTGGACTTTAACTTTTTTGACAGATACCTTTCATAGCAGCACACTGGCAAATAAAGTCATTAGGTTTGGCATAACAGGCGCTTAGTTGGGAATTTCCCGTATTACTGCAAGAATCATAGACAGCCTTGTTTGCACAAGTTGCTTCGCTTGTATGTACTAGAGCAAGAATAGCTGCCAGAGAAACAACTACAATAATCGAATATCTATTAAGAGAGGCCTTCATGTTTTTCTTTTTTTTTCGTTGTATAAGGTTCGCTCAAAACAGAAGCAAAAAAACTTGAAAAATCGTTCAAATAGATTGAAAAGCAAAATAAATCAACTCGCTTCTAAATTTGAAGCTTATAAAGAAACTAAGGACTTCCATGAACATTCTTCCATCCACACAATATGTAGAATATATACAATAATTTAATAGTGCATCGAAGAAACCTATTAATAACAAGTGTATTTACGCACAAAATTAATTACAGCATACTGCGAACGCCTGGCCTACATATCCTATAATTCATGTAACAGGTAAGCATTTCATATGTACAAATCTTTAATAATCAAATAAAGGATTCTATATCCCTCATCCTGCCTCGGAATGAGCAATTTTCGCGCAACAGCCACCCTCTTATGGCCTTTTTTGATGTATCAAATCCTATTCATAGTACTACTAAAGTTTAATGTGGCCATTCATTTTTTTGAATTCTCTACAGCAATGTCGTTATAGGAAAATTTGCAGACCAATTATAATTGGGTTAATTATCGTTATCGATAATTATAAACATATATCGATTAAACCCCTGGTTAAAATTTATTAAATTTACTATAAATTTTATTTAAATTTTAAAAACCAAAATTGGAATTAAAAATAAATTTAAAATTAGAATTACTGTAGTTAAAAATAAGAATTTTATAGTGTTGAATATTTTACTTAGTGCATTAAATATAGTTATCCCGTTTTTGAGTTATAATAAGAGTGTGATTATGTTAACTAGGGGGGCAAGTTAACAATATTCTATTGATTATTACTAATTATAATCGATAAAGTAAAAAAATCGATAGTTCAAAAAAATTCACAAATTTTTTAATTAAATTTAAGTGCGATTTTCTTGATATATAATTAGTAATTAGAATTAGCTCAAATTTTTACTCTATATATAACATATTGTATACAATGGTCGATTTTCTTTAAAACAACTAACTATCGTATATAAACAACTACTCAAGAACTACTAGTCCAAATTTACTAAAATTTTAATGCTATAAACTGATATTTGCAACAAAAATTTGAGCTAATTATAATCACTAGTTGTCAACTAAAATTTACGAAGTTTTTAGTTATTCACGGTATTTTCGGTGTTATGAATCACAATTTTATTTCTTTTTTCTCTTATTGGTTATTTATTTATTAGTCGGCTTTATTCCCGACCGAATATTTTACCAGACGTTCCAGAATTTATGAAAACAGCTGTAAAAACACGATTCACCGTAATGTCGTATGAAACGATAAATCACACATTTATTCCACCATGCCAGGGAAATAATTGAAACATTTCCCCAGTGGCAAATTTATGGGGCGCAAAGCGCCCCACATATGCCGATGGGGAGATATTTCATTATTCCCACCGTCCCACATATGCCGATGGGGAGATATTTCATTATTCCCACCGTCTCACATATGCCGATGGGGAGATATTTCATTATTCCCACCGTCTCACATATGCCGATGGGGAGATATTTCATTATTCCCACCGTCTCACATATGCCGATGGGGAGATATTTCATTATTCCCACCGTCTCACATATGCCGATGGGGAGATATTTCATTATTCCC